CAGCTATAAAAAAATGAAATTAGCCAAAATGTTTCCCTCAAAAAACTATAAAACTTTTGTCTGAAACTTTTTTTCTAAGATACATATTTTCGGCGGTATTTAACTGTAACACTTTAATTTAAACACCCGGTATATTTACAATTTTTGCTTCTTAATGTGATTTATTTATTTAATTGATCCTAATGTACTAAATTATTAGTAGGTACGAAATTTTTTTTTTAATTTTGTGATAAAATATTGCATGCTTTCTGCTGTTTTGGTAAAAATTTTATCCATGGAAACGCGAACCTTTAATCAAAGTCGATTGTAGATTTCTCAAGATTTTTTTGTACAGTGAAATAACAATAATTTTTTGACATGCCTAGGTACTAAATACAAAAGTTTTGCCAAATAACATTACCTATGAAACTTTTTTCAATTAAATTGAATCATTTTAAAACCCGTTTTAAAGAGATTTAATAAAAAATGCAGAATTTTTACACAAATTCGATTTTTACATAAGATTAACTAGGTACTTTGAGATTTTTAGGAATATTCCCAGTACCAATTTTAGAATTTCGCATCTTCTCCTGTTTTGTTAAGGCTAATGAACAACCATGGTTAATTCAAAACATTAATAATACTAATAATTTAAAAATATATAAGATACTTTTCGTAATTGGTACGTCTATGATAAGTAAATTCTAACCTATAAATACTTACATATGAAACGAAGAATTTGGGTCCAATTTGTCTTGTTTTTTACAAATTTTGCACCATTTTTAAAGTTTGTATGTTAACAAAATAATGGGAAATCATTTTCACAAGAAAAAACTGAGAAAATCCGATGAACAATAACACTAAACAATCTCTACAACGCCAACTGTCAAAACAAATTGATGGAATTATGAATGAATATTTTATATTCCGTTGTCTAAGCTCACAATAAACAACGTAATATGCCCCGCCTACAAAATACTAGCTGTTGCCACATCTCGTAAAAAATACTTGATATTTAATATACCACTAACAAGTTTTGGAATTTATTGAAAATAATTACATCTAATTTAGTGAAATTATATCTAATTTAGTTAAATTTGATATAACAAATGATTCAACATTTTTTGGGTTCAGTTGCAGTAAAATAGGTTGAATTATTTTAGCTTTTTTAATATATGTAAATAATTGTGTAAAAAAAAACGAGAATAATGAAATAGGCATATGACAACAGCTGATATTATACCCTAGTGTGTCCCTTAGAATATGTCTTATTCACGACAGCACGATATTTGTAAGTAACTACATCTCCTGTTATCTCTGGTTTCAACACATTTTCCAATATGCCTCGATAGCAGAGTTTCTTGGCTTAGAAAATGCGGGAGACTATACTGGACATAGTTTTAGACGATCCTCTGCCTCTTTGCTGGCGGAAGCAGGTGCCGATTTATCGATATTAAAAAGACATGGAAGATGGCGTTTTAACTCAGTTGCAAAAGGATATGTTGAAGAGTTTATAAGAAATAAAATAGAAATTTCAAAAAAATATTGGGTAATGAAGTTGCAGTAGGTGCACCTGAAAAAGCTGGGACAGTAGCCAATAACAAATATAATATATCGGAGCATACATTACAAATTTTTAATTTAAACAATGAACCCATCCATCAATTCTAACAATGGACCCATCCATTCAAACGTAGTTTCTAATGTTTCAGAGCAACTAACTATTCCATTAAACAACAAAATGAAGCTCCAGTTTAATAATTTAAATAACTGTAACTTTTATTTTGATTATAGAAAATAATTATGCAAAGATAGTTTCCATTGTAGTTTCCATTAAGTATTATTGTTTTCATTGTTTCCATAATTATTGTTACAAGTTTATTTTTATAATAAAAATTTTAGACTGATTCCATTGTTTATTATATTGGCTTTACATAATATATGCACACATGCCTAAACAGTGCTAATATCGATACCTAAATAGCGACTTCCACATTTGGCTGTCGACAGTAATATAGGTACATTATTAGATTAACTTATAGTGACTTAAAAGTTTTTTAAGTCACTAGTGACTTAAAAAAATTTTAACTCACTCTTTTAGTTGCTAGTGAATAAAACTTTATTTGTTATTGTTGTTATGGAATTGATAAAGTCATTTTAATGTGTCAAAATTGGATAAACATAAGTATGTGAAAATCGTAGTTTAGGTTGATATGAATTAATTATATCTACTGTTGTATTTATACCTTTATTTTAACAAAAAAAATACAATATACAATATACAAATGAAAAGGGTACCAGAATTCACAAGACAACACTTTAAAAATCATCTAGCATTTTGCAGCGAACATAAAAACAGAACCGAGTATTATTTCTTAAACGAGTCGCATTTTAGATTATTTGATCAAAATGGAAGTATTCAATTCTACAGAAGTCTTTAGAACAATATGGTTATTTTGAATAAGGATCAGTAATGATATTGTATTATTAATGGTATGAAGAGGCATCAATAATGGACGAACTGAGCTCATTATACTATATCGTGGGAATTTGACAAGGTATCGATGCATTTTGGTTATTTTATGACCCCGTGTATTGACTTGTGCCTAAAGTACACCTAAGATTAAATTTTTCAGCAGGTTGATGTCCCTTCTTATATCGCCATCAAGAGATCTGAAGCTTTTTTGAAGAAAACTCTGTCTGAATTTAAATCTCTTAGAACAACTATGGTCTTAATAATTGGTTTGTGAGCTGTAGATAATGCCGATAGATATGCTGCTCTTTTTAGAACTTAATTTAGTACTTGGACTATATTTATCCCATGTTTTTGTTTATGAACTTTGTGGAAAGTCTAATTTTAATTAACGACTACAACAGCTGCTTACACTGAGGCGTCAAATGTTTTTAGAATTAAAAGATATCGAGGGCCACAATGCAGTATCCCGTAACTAACATTTCCACTGAAAATTTTATTTTATGATAATCTTGTTTAAAACATTTCGCTCCATCTACTGTATAGAGTAAGTATTACAATTTTTGAACAAAACATGGGTAAATATTAGTCTTATTATAGAGTAAAATGGAATGTTCTATACACGTTTTTTTGCATTTCCTGAAAAATATCAATTTTGCGACTTGTGGCCCTCGATAAATGGTATATTAAAGAGTGAAAAATTGTATTTAATTGATTAGCATATATGACAGTAATTAGAAGTGTTTATTTTACAAACAAATATACCATGTCGACCTGGTGATTATTATAATCCGCTTATCCTTTCAAGTAAGATGTTCATTACCGTGCTTTGGGGTATAATGTATATTGGAGGTATTAAGAGATTAACTAGAGTTATGCGTTCTAATAAGGCCCTTCAAATAGCTTTTTGATTAAAAATTAATTACAATCTGTATAAGGTGAATCCTAATTTGATACTTTTTTTAACCGTATATAGAAGTCGTTGAAATAAATATCTTTTTTATATCAATTTTTCAAGAAACTTAAAAAATGAAAATGATACAAAATCATACAAAAATATAAATTCGAGCCTAGACTGGTGTATTAAAAATGAGAAGTATGTTTATGTATTTATCTGTTTTCTTTTTTTTTTAGTGTTTACATGAATCACGCTTCCACGGTTATTATAATTCAGTCGTATGTGATGTGATTTTAGTATCGTGTTTATATGAGAGCAATGGTTAAATATGTTATTTATTGATAGAGTCTTCAAAATGCATGCATCGGTATTGTACAGTGAACGCTTCACGTTGCGAGCCCATTCTAGTCCCAGAAACTTTACTAATATTACTCAACGGTCTAGGGATATGGGTAATTTGCGGAAGCATCGTGAAAGGCATGTAGGAGATCAATACGAGAAGACAAGAAGTGCGTTTTTGTTGAAGTATCCTGTTCTAATTATTTAATAACGGATCTCTGATTTATGATTGCCAAGTGCTTAAAATGATATTTAGCAAGAAAGATGTCCAATACGCAGAATATATGGTGCCGCCATTTATAAAAGGGATCAACAAAAGTTGGAACAATGTGACTGTATGAACTAGACAAAAATGATTTCCTTAAAAGGATGTACAACCGTCACTAAGTAGTTAGAGGCTGTTTTGGCTATATAGTTTTCGGGATTAAATAAAATTAAAATAGGAAATATTAACGAACTATAGTTTATAGAACAAAGAAGTGTAATAATGTAATTTGCAGAACATAGTACAGATTCAAGAGGTAGACATTTTATTTATCTTATATATTTTAATTTATTCAGAGTTGTGTATTAGTATATATTATAATTTTAATGTTCATCTCTTAGTTATATGAAGGTATTAGTATAAGAGCTGGCAACGTCATGAAAAAAAGTATTTTAGGTCGGCTGATCTTTTGATATTTCCTTTCTTATTGAAGCTTGGTGGGGATACGGTACATCTGGCTGCTGTGAGTGGTTGCGTTTTCTTCTGCGCATCCTATTTGTACAGGTACAAATTACGTATTTTTAAATCATTTTAGGTCGATTTCTTTTCTCTTCATAATTTTCTATATCCTTTTAGCAATATAATTATAAAGTGCCATACAGTTTTGTAGTTGCTAACTCCGTGCCAGATGCTATTTTAGTAATTAAAAAAATATTTTTTCAAATCATTTTAGTATAGCTGTAATTTTAATATATAATATAGTTATGCTATCAAAGAACTTAAAATTAATTTGCCATACATAAATTCAGTTGTATAATAAGAAGCCGGACCGATTTGAGTCTCGGAGATAGTAGGCGGTGTAGAAGAGTGCTGTCTGTCACTTTTTATGATGGCATCGTCCATGTATCTCAATGTTTGTGTGTTATTAGTTGTGTTCATCAAAGGGTAAAGCTAAATTTCGTCGAAATGAGTAACGGAATAGAAAAATGTGTTTTTTGTGAAGAGAAAACTGGAAAAATAATCATATTTACTTATGAAAAACTGAATTAGTGTGTGGAAATTTTATATTCACGTATTAAGTTTAATTTAAAATATAAAAATGTTAGGCTACAAGACAGTGTTAATGATACTGATGAATACCAGAAACAGTGTTATAGCAGTTTTACATCCTTGATGTCTAAATATTGTAATCCAAATCCTATAATGCAGATTAATTTTCCGAGTACATCTTGTCCAAGATTTTCAAATTCTCCAATTAATGTTTGTTATACTACTCAAGATAATATTACTCCAATCGTTGATAATAGCGATCTAAATACGTTTTCAACTGATTTAGCAATTGACTCCTTTTATAAAATTCCAGAGTTAGAAAAAGAAAGTGCCACAGAAAGAAGTGATAACCTTAAAAATGTATGCTTTTTTTGCGAAAAAGACCAAAAGCAAGTTAAAGGAAAATAGCAAACTTTACATTCTTCAAAAGATGAAAAACTATATGAAAAAATTATTGAATGGATGACAATATTAGATCATGATAAACTGTTAAAAAAAACAATGCTATAAAATCTGCAGGTGGGAGTGTATTTTACCATCATTTATGTGAATTAGCATACACGAATAACTACAATAAAACAATTAAAGATAATCCACGTACTACATGGCATGCAAACAGATGTTCACAAAAAAAATTTCGACAATATTATGTTTTTAATTAATGCAGAGGATATAAAAAAAATGTTGCTTGCTATTATCATCGCTTTATGATATTTACAATAGTAACTTGGAGTATGAATTAAAACAACAATCTTTACCGGAATCAAGTTATATGACTCATCATAATCTTGAAAATAAAATATTAAAAAATTTCCCAAATACCATTAAAATACAAACGAAAAATAAAAAAAAAAATTATTAAGCACATGGATAGTAATTTAATAGAAGAAAACGATTTAACAGATCTTGAAGAGAATGATTGTTTTGAAGAGTAGCATTAATCCTACGAAAAACAATTTTAAATATTAATAAATTTAAATTAAAATCAAAAATTAAGGTGGAGGATTTAATTAATGGTGAGTGTTTCATTCCAGAGAAATTGGAGAGGTTTTATAAAGTCTTGATTGGGGGTAAAGATATTCGTCGAAGAGATGGTGTCAATGGTGACAGATTGACTAATTCAATGGCCTCAGACGCTATTTTTTGTGTCAATAATGGAACTTTTAAACCGTCTAAACACATAACACTTGTTTTGACTATAAAAAGTCTTACAAATAGTCGAAAAATTATTAATATTTTAAATAGATTTGGACATTGCTGCAAATATAACACCTTGAAAGAATTTGAAACTGACATTATCCGTTCTCCATTATTATGTACAGGTAAGGCATTCGATAATTTTGATAGATTCGTCGATACCCTAAATGGAAAAGAAACTTTACACGATACTGTTGGAATAATATATCAAAATATTGATAATAATGTCCAAAAAGAATTAAATGTGGATAATACCAGTAATAATTCTGAAGAAACGCTACCAGGACCATCAAAAAAAAAAAAGAAGAACCTTTGATGCTATTGTTCCCGATATCCTTCCATATGCTAAACGATTAAGGATGTCTGGACGTTTAAAACTGGTTGAGGAAGATCAATCTTATTTACCAGAAAACTTTACATTAATGCAATCAATTGATCTTCTTCACTTGGTATCATTTTTTTTTATATACCAAACACTCCAATGTGGACAGGTTTCAATTGTAAGCTACTACCAGACAATAGCTTAAAACAAAGAGTTTCATATTTAACACCCATTAATGTATCACCTACTAATACAGCTGTTGTGGTAAATACAATGAAACAGGCACAAGCAATAGGTAAAGAATGCAAGCAAACGTATGTAACAAGTCACTTATGACTTGGCAATATATAAAATATAAAAAGCAGTAGAGCAGCCTCGATTTAAGAATTTTTTTATACATCTGGGTGCATTTCACTTAACGATGGCTTTTTTAAATCAATTGGTACGTATATTAATGAGTGTGGATTATCTCATATGATGATTGAAAGTAAAATCATAGCTAGTGGATCAGTTAACGGAATTATTGAAGAAAAACATTTCAATCGTTGCAAACGTCTGCATCCGTTAATGGCTATAGGCTTACAAATGTTGCATTTTGATCAATTCATAAAAACAAAAAGTACAGAATTTGATTTTCTCAAAGAGCAGATTTACGACGATCTTTTAGAGTACCAAGACACAACTCTTCTACCATCAATTAAGTCAGAGGAACTCTTAACTAATGGCGTATTATCTAAACGTTTTTCTTCATACAAACAATATGTAAATCGAACACTGCGAGGCGATCATGGAAAAACAGCTCATTACTACATGATTTATATACAGTTGGTCAATTATTACGTTACTTTATCAAGAAGCATACGCATGGATGATTTTGAGATGTTCAAATATATAATTCCCAAAATAACTAATTTGTTTTTTATGGTTAATCAACAAAACTACACTCGATAGTGTGTTAAATATTTGGACAATTTATATAACATTAACGAAATGCACCCAGAACTTGAAGATGATTTTAAGAAATGTTTCTTTGGAATTAAAAGAACCGAAAAGTCTTTTTCAAGAATACCAATAGATCTTACATTGGAGCAAACTATTAATGCTGATGCAGCTAGATGATTAAGTGGAATTTCACATTTTACTAACTCTATAGCAGCACTTTAACGCTGGACAAAAAGCCACAGCATTAGAGCTGCGTTAATTTCTCATGTTCTTGATGTTTTTGGGTTAAAACAATATCAAGACGCTACTGCAGATTTAAAACCTAGTAGAATAAAAATTTATGCAAAACAAGTAACAGATCTTGTTAATATACTTAAGAACAATTTTAATCCATTCGATACAAGTTTAGATCGAGATAATATTTATAATATCGCTACTGCCAAGCCTACTACTACAACAGATGTTAATGAATTTTTACTAAATATTGAAAAGAGTGGCGATATTTTATGAAAACAGTTCATCAACGAATGTGCTGATAATAAAGACAGATTCGACAAACCTATTAAAAAAAACGAGTGCTTAACTTTGCTGCTGCTCCAAAAACAAAAAAACTTACTCTTGGTAATAAAGTCGTTGAATTGAGAATGCAAAGAGACATATTTGGTCAAATGTTGGGAATATCTCTAGGCCATAAGGTTGATATTGAAAAAGTACTTTCATTCCCACTCACGCCTTTGCCAACATCCATGTGTCATGCTGATGGAACTATTTGTAAAACAAATAAAGCACAGTTAGTCAAAATAATCGAGAAAGCAATGAAAGACAATATCAATGAACACCCGTTGTGTTTCGACATAGCTAGATGGCTTCTTAATGAAAGAAATACCTCAAACCTTTAATGGGTTATCTAAAAAGGTCCTCAGCATGATAACTCAATTTAAAACAAGTCGCATTAACATTATATTTGATCAATATTTTACACCCTCAATTAAAGATTGTGAGCGTACACGTAGGGATGAATCGGTCAGCCCAGTTTCGATAGGACCTAATCAAATACGACTTCAAAACTTCACTGCTCAGCCTAAAAATATTCAATTCAAAGAACCTCTAGTTAATTTTTTTATTAACCACTGGTCTACTGACGACATGGCACCTTTGATTGGTAATAAAACAATTTACTTAAGTTTAAACGAGTGTTACTGCTATCGGGTTGAAGATAACAAGGTAATTATGACTAAAGATGATTTATTATCATGTGAAGAACACGAAGAAGCCGATTCTAGGATTATATATCACATTTGCCAAATTAATTTTGAGGCTGACGTTGTTATAAGGTGCTCGGATATTTTACTAATACTTCCTGGTAATATGGACCATTTAAGTGCTTCCCTAAAACTTTGGATTACCATGGGCGTTGTAAATCATCAACGATATGTTAACATCAATCATATGTATAATATTCTGGGCAATACTATATCTAAAGCTCTACCGGGTTTCCACGCAATGACTGGATGTAATTACATACCTGCATTTTTCCGTAAAGGCAAACTCAAGCCTTTCAAATTATTGATAAAATCGGTATATTATCAATTAGCCTTCCAAAATCTTGCTACCGATGATGAAGAAATACTGAAGGATGCATTTGTCACCTTAGAGAAATTTGTTTGTCATATGTATGGAATTCGTAATAATAGCAATGTCAATGATGTTAGATTTCACTTATTTTCTACTACTTATCAATCCAAAAATTTCAACGACAACTTCGAAAAAAAATTTAAGAATTTCGATCCATCAAGCCTACCTCCTTGTAAAGTTGAATTACAACAACATTTATTACGAGTTCGCTATGTGACAGTTTTGGAGAAATGCTTACTTAAAATACCCCACGTCGTTATCACCACTAGCTTGCGGTTGGACAATGAACGACAACAAATATGACTTTGTTTGGTTCCTTAGAGACCAATTACCATCATTATTTGCTGATATTATAGTTCAAGGTAACTATTAATAAAAAAAATTCACCAAACACGTAACCACCTACTTACGTTCCTTAATTTAATTAATATTTTTCTTTCCAGATAGTAAAGTTTTAGAAAACAACGATATACCTGAAGACAACTCTGACAATGATGAAAGCAATTATCACAATGAAAGTAGTGACAATGATGATGACCTTGAAGATGCTTTATTTTAATATGACACCATAATAGAATAAATATAATTAATTATAATTTGTATGTGATTGAGAAAATATTTTTAATAAAAAATTGAGTTTTTATTTTGCAAATACTGTGTGTTATTAAATTTTTAATTTAATTTTGTTCATTCTGTAATTAAATTTTTTTCTTAATTAAATAACTTATTTCAAATATTTTTCTATCTCTCTCTTCTGATGCTTCCTGTCGCAGTTATATCTCTCGCGGAACCGACTCATAACTTACTGCACTTTCCTATGTATCCGAGACTTAAATCGGTCTGCCTCTAATTAAAAAACAGTATATCTGTATGGAAAATTAATTTTAGATCCTTTAATAGCATCACTATATCATATTAAAATTTCAGCTATACTAAAATAGTTAGAATTTTTTTTAATAATAAAATGGCATCTGCCACGGAGTTAGCAACATCAAAACTGTATGGCACGTTATATTTATGTTATTGAAAGGATATAGAAAATTATGAAGAAAAAACAAATCGACCTAAAATGATTTGAAAATACGAAATTTGTACCTGTACAAAAAGGATGCGCAGAAGAAAACGCAACCACTTCCAGCAGCCAGATTTAAATCTTTTTAAAAAGATTTAAATCTAATTTTTAAATAAAAAATCAAAGATACTTTTCAAAAAGATTTAAATCAAATCAAAAATCATTTTTTTAAAAAAGATTTAAAATCAAAGTATTTAAATCAAAAAATTATTTAAATCTCACTTATAGGTGACAGCTCTGATACCTTATGACGTAAATTTTTGTCTTTTTTTAAATTTCAAATCTGTTTTAAGGACAGAAAGGCCCCGAATATTTTGTCTTGTGATAAGATTCTGGATTTGAGATTCAGTTCCACATTTATTTTATTCTTATACCTTATGACGTAAATACTGGTTTTTTTTGTCAAAAACCCTTGTCTTAAAGCAACTAAGCCTCCAATTATTTTGTCTTATGAATAGTGCTCGAGTGGTGCATTTAGTAAATAACAATCTGACAACAAATCGTTTCTATACCAAAAAATCGTTTTTTTTGCCTTATGACGTAAATTTATGTCTTTTTTTACAATATAAAATCTGTCTTATAGACAGAAAGCTGCAAAATATTTTGTCTTACGGCATTGTTTTAGAATAGGTGGCCCTTTCCGCACAAAATCTGATGGTTTTCAATGTTATACTTTGTGATGTAGAGTTGGTCCTTTTTTAAAAATTTGACAGTTTCTGTCCCCGGTTTGGTATGTAAGACAAAATAAAATCAAACTATTTTTAATCCACATTAAATCTGACAATACAAGTCTTGGAATTATTTATGTTTAATTAGACTTACCTAATCTTTGATAAAATGATTGTAAATTTTAATAAATAATATTTCTATTATCGTTAACTAAAGATCTTATACGATTTTAATATGAATTTAAAAAAGAGTAGAATTATTCTCCATTTTAATAAACTATCTAAAATAATGTTATGCTTTATTCCTGATATCAATTTCGTACTAAAATGAGAATTTTAACATTATTACAGTCTACAACATATTGTAAGCCTGTATTGTAATTTGAAATTGCTGCACTACCACTTTACTTTAAAGGTAATGAACAATGAAGGCATAATATCCAGTCTAAATAGGTATATTTTCATTATAACGCATTGAAACCGGTTTTAATGGTTTTATTTCTGGGTATTAAATAGAAACTTGTTTTCAGAAGTACGAAAATATATACAAATAATTTATTGTCTTTTCATTCTGAATCACCTTCTGTTTGATACTGAAATAATAATTGCAGAAATAAATTTGTCATTTCTCTGTCTAGTCAAACAAAAACTTATTAATAATAAAAATATTAATAAATAATTAAAGGTAATTGAAGACGAAACTTATTGTTTGTTTATGTATTAACAATTTAGGAACAGATTGAATTTGGTTAGGATTGTGTGCGATGTTACCTTTCAGTTTTTTCAATTCTATTATGGATAACCTATTTTCGTTGATTAGAGTATTTTGCCTACTTTGATTTTTTATAGTAGACTCCATATTCTAGAAAGTAGCTCTCCTTGGTAAATTAAAAAAACAGGAAAATTTCTAAATGGAATGTACGCTAGTAAAATAAAAGAAAATAATGCCCGTTATGGCGGTTTTTCACTAAATGGAAAATACAAAAACAAAAAACAAACTCGTGTCGAGAAAAACAAAACTGCAACTTTTCGAAAACTTTTTAAAGACTAGCGTGTTTTGCAACAGTTGAAGTTTTGTTTCTCAAGTCCTGCTCGGATGTGTTTTAAAACTCGAGTCTGATTACTTGAAACGGTCGTATTGTGTAGTCTAAATTTTGAACCAACTTGGTACCTATAGGTAAGTAAATATCGTATTTTCTTTTAGATAAGTAATTAGTAATATGTAATTTATTTTTAACGCTGGATAACTATATTTATTAGTAGAATATATATATAAGAAGAACTAGAAAGTTAGTAGTTGCTGACTAAGTAGAAAAATAACCAAAATATTGGGGAATTCAGAAAATAATATATATATATATTATCCTTTTTAAATTTTTATTATGTCACATACATCTTCTAAACTACTTTTATATGTATTTTTAACCAAAATAAATAGGTATATACATATAAATAAAATATTGGAAAACTGTGTTCTGACTTCCTTGCCACAACCAGTGGAAAAGGACCGAAAACAAAAACAAACCTGCTATAAAATCTAGTCTGCTTAAAGAAAATAAAAGTTTTGCATTTGTCTCAGTTTTGTTTCTGCTTTTCAAGTTCCACAAAACACAAACAAAACTTAAACTCAACTGTCGGTTTAGTTGAAAATTGTATTAAGAGGATGTCCGGTTTACTTCAGTCCAAAAAATAATAGTTTATACTACAAAGGGCGTCAAATTTTTTTTTATACATTTTGTAAATATGTGTTTTAATAATGTCATTAGTTGCAAGAAATTGGATACTTGTTTTTTTTGTAGGATGAGAAATCAAGATCTGATCAAAGTTTAATGTATATTGCCAAAGACGACATTAGCAGAAATTTGCCTAAATCTACAACTTTATTCCTTTTTGTGCCTCGGTATATTAAATTTTTGTATAAAAATTCTTATTCTTTGATATCCTTTTATAAATAATCCTACCTAATAAGTATCCCTATGAGTAGCCGTTTCTGACAAAATCTATTTCAAATATTTTATTGAGTATTAAAACTCATCGTAGCAAACAGTATACAATGAAAATATAACATCATTGGTTACAAAAGAGTATTGTTAAACGATTCAATTTTTCAGATCAATTTTTACATTTAATACTTAATGTTTTGCCATGCTCCTGCCTTGGTACCTTGGTACCTTACACTAACTACTATCTATATTAATTATTTTAATTATTATGATTATATATTATTAAAATTAATATAATTATAATATTTATAATTATTACAATTATTATAATTATTATAATTATTATAATTATTATAATTATTATAATTATTATAATTATTATAATTATTATAATTATTATAATTATTATAATTATTATAATTATTATAATTATTATAATTATTATAATTATTATAATTATTATAATTATTAAATTTATTATAATTATTATAATTATTATAATTATTATAATTATTATAATTATTATAATTATTATAATTATTATAATTATTATAATTATTATAATTATTATAATTATTATAATTATTATAATTATTATAATTATTATAATTATTATAATTATTATAATTATTATAATTATTATAATTATTATAATTATTATAATTATTATAATTATTATAATTATTATAATTATTATAATTATTATAATTATTATAATTATTATAATTATTATAATTATTATAATTATTATAATTATTATAATTATTATAATTATTATAATTATTATAATTATTATAATTATTATAATTATTATAATTATTATAATTGTTATAATTATTATAATTATTATAATTATTATAATTATTATAATTATTATAATTATTATAATTATTATAATTATTATAATTATTATAATTATTATAATTATTATAATTATTATAATTATTATAATTATTATAATTATTATAATTATTATAATTATTATAATTATTATAATTATTATAATTATTATATTTATTATAATTATTATAAGATGATAGGCACCTCCTAGCTCGTCAGCCAGCCTACAGATTTAATGTAGTTGACAACGTCGCCAAGAGGTGCTTCTCGGCCGGTGTTAGCCGATACTCGTCGAACACAAATCTTCTAATAAATGAGAGCATCGGGCAATCGAAAAGGATATGCTCGATGGTCTCATCTTCTTGTTCGCACCCTCTGCAGAGTGCGGATTCTGACAGCCCCATGATATAGAAATTCTTCCGTACTTGGCAATGACCAGTCAGAATGCCTGTGACCAGACGCAGATTCTGTCTAGTCATAGTCAAGTATTTGTTTGCTGCAGTGTTGTCAGGATAACTTAAGAGTTCCTTGGCAACTCTGCAGTTTCTTGTTTCATCCCATCTTTCCTTGAATCATTAAGTGGCTAACAGAGAGAAAGATTAAGTTTCCAGAAAAATCAATAATAGGAGAAGGCTCAGAAGGACCAAACCATTTAAAGTAGTTTTGTGAAAGTGTGTTAAAGCAGAGCACAGTGCGTTTATGCAGTGTATAGTTATCAGAACAGAAAGGAGAAGATACCATTGGGTGAACTCTTATTTTCAAGATTCTCAAGTTTGCTTA